AACACAAACATCACTGTCTCCTAGCCTACACTAGTTTTGGGTCTCCCAGTAACATGAAATTTAAGTGAATGTAATCCAATTACCTGCCCTTGATAAAATTTATGCTCCCTATCACGCATTATTATGATTATTTGCTGACCATACATAACTTAACACATAAGCGTTAACAACAACACTTTTCATCCCCTGCCCGAGCATGTATTCTTTAAGGAGACTACATTTTTGGGGAGTGTTGTTTAAATGATAGAAAATGCCTTGGGTAGCCCCCCCCCCCTCCCCCTTCTCTTAATTGTTGCTGTTGGGCTGCTCCTGCAGGTACATTAATATTAAACTTTTTAGTGTGTACACTGTTTGTATGCTTATATGATTTATTTGTATTGCAGATTTTTATTTCAAACTTGTTTCTCAGTATATGTATTATATATTTAAATTGGCATGAAGGATAACAAATTATTTTTTTTTTATCTCAGTGTATTCTTTTACAGATAATTTTCTGAATTTGCATAGTGAATATTTTTTATCTATCTATTTTTCAGGATATTTCTGATAAGAAGAAGGAATTAGAAATACTAGGGTTGAATAAAATTTTGGAGAATGGAAAACTGGAGATCATCATCCGTGGCAGAAGAACCTGAATTTTACACACAAGCAGAGGAGACTGTTTAACTCGGTTAGAATATTATATGAAATTTAGTGAGTGATACCCCGGCAGCTCTCGTGAAGTTGCAAGAATATTTAATGAATTAGTCGTTTACAGGTAAAAACTGGAATTTTTCTTCATTTGGTTAAAACTCTGAATATTAGTGAAAGTAAAATTATACAGGTACAACTGGATTTATTAACTGCAATACATACACAATGTATATATCCCGTACCCAGGCAATAAATAACATTTTCAGTCTTTGTGCATTATATTTAATTATGAATTTGTTTGTTTTATTAAAAAAGATGTAATGGACGCCATGTCCCTTTTTTAATATAAAGTTTCAAAATTTTATTCCTGAAAAATAATATTTCATTTTATTAGACGATTTTCCTATTTCAACCCCCCCCCCCCCCCCTCCCGCCAACAATTTTATTGAATTTTAGTTCACATGCAAGCTTTACATGTTCATGCTTTTTTTTTTTTTTTTTTTTTTTTTTTTTTTTTTTTTTTTTTTTTTTAATTCTATCTTTCAACTTGAATTGAATTATGTATCTACATGTATGTGTTAGCAAATGTGTTGATAAATGTTATAATTGTTTAAAAAGTTTGAATCTCTATTCAACATTAAATCATTTATTTATTAACCTTTATGTACATGTTAATCATCAAGAACAATGTGTTTTGTACTGTTTTATGTTTGTTTCAAATAAAAATGTTGAAAACTTATAAACACGTTTAAGTGTTTATTTATTTTGTAAATTAAACACGTTGAAGTGTTTAAAAAATGACGTATAAACATGTTTAAGTGATTATTATCTGTTGCATCGAATAAACATGTTTAATTGTTTAGGTTGAACGTGTTTATTAATAAAACATGAAATGTTTAAATTTTAAACACGTACGGAGTTTATTTAGTAAACTCCTTGTGTTTATTCAGTGTTTAATCTTTAAACGTTTTGTGTTTTTCAAGTGTTAAGAATTTAAACAGAATGAGAAGGAAGTATTTAAATATTAAACCTCATGTGTTTAGAATTTAAACATTCTAACATGTTTATTTCTTAAACACTTCACGAAGTGTTTAAATTTTAAACGTGTTAAAGTGTTTATTATCTGTGGCAATTTGGTGTTTATTTTTAAAACACTTATTTTTTTACAGTGTAGGACGTCACGGAGCAGCAGTTTTCGATACAATTTTCTGTTGTACTCTGGAAAACGTCAGAATAAAATCTGAAAATGTTGTAGGAAGCATGAAATATCTCAAAAGCGGGTCATGCATATGTGTGTGTAAATGGCCCAGGCGGTATTTGAATGATATGGACTTTGTATCAGACGAGGACGATCTGTGAGAGAACGGATTCACCCAAAAACGTTTAGTTAGTAAGGTCTTGGAAAGAGAAAGGCGTGAAATGTAAAGTGAGAATATTTTGAGAACCTCATGACGCTATATTTTTGACGTTATAATGTTTAGTTTGCTCCGGGGTTATCAAACATGTTGATTTGAAAAAAAAGTAAATTGATTTCTATTGAATCGAATGGAATGAAACTTGACACGTCAACAAAATAAATATTTTTACATAATTATGATAATGTACTTATATTAAATTTCTTGAAAATAGTATAACGAGGATTGACATTGTCCACGAACTTTTCGAACAACCTTTGTAACTGTGTCAAGGTTCAATATTTTTTACGACTTTGGGTAGACCTAATTAATAGAGACTCCGATAAGCTTTATTATTTTTTCATCTATCGACATAATGGTGCTGGTCAGGAGTAGATTTTCGCGCTAGCAATGGAAAAATTGTCGAGCAAACTCATGCTCACAGAATAACTGAAATGGTGTATATTCTTAACTATATAAACACACTTTGGTTCAGAAAATATCTTTAGTTTTGTGCATATTATTTTACTCTATCGTCATTCGAAATATGCAAAGTTAAACACCCCATTACATTATAATTAGAATATCGAAATACGTGCATTTTTGTAGATCTGACCACGGGCACTGGAAGTTACTGTAAATATTGAGAATGTGCATGGACCTTTTTTATACATGCACATACTCAATATTTACAGTAACTTCCAGTGCCCGTGAGAAAATTCAAATAGCTATAACCTCTATTACAGACTGAGGAGACGTTAAAAAGAGCAGAGAACGTCCTGAAGAATTGGGAGTTGAAGTGAACGTATAACGTTTACAACGACTTTGAAGATGGAGTATAATATAGCTGATTTTCCGAGAACCTTTCTTCGAGCTTATGTTATTGAGTATTTGCATAATTTCATGTTTAGCAATTTTAATAAACGATTTTGATATACCCGGTACTCTTTTTAAATGCGCATCTGTAACGCATCAGAAGTATTTGGCTAGCAAAGAAGTATGTACATATCTAATATTTTTGAAGCGATATTCTTATTTTGATCAGACATCCAATAATAATTTTGCAGCATATTCAGCATCTTCCCAAGTCAAGGGCTTCTGATCCACTACGCTCCAAGTGGAGCGGAGTGGATCAGGAACCATGTGGAGTGGAGTGGATCAGAAACCCTTGACTTGGGGAGATGCACTGGCAAAGCCTCGTTTTGGTTGAAAATCCGTGTTTTTTTCCCCTTTAAAACATTACTTTTTAAAATTTCTGTTAACCTTGGTAAATAATTCTGATTTTGATGACGGTGTTTCCAGCTCATTAATTTACATCATATTCATTTAGAATGCCAACTCTTCTACAGTCCTACAAAATGGCCTGATAAAGTCCAGGAAATTAACTGGTATCTACAGACAGATGGACGGAGTGTAATACCACGAAATCACAAATATCTTTATATAAGACAGGCTTGTAGAAGATATGAACTATTTCAATTCTGTAGAAGAAATTTGTAGCAGTACATGTACTAACAAAAAGCCCATAGGCCACAACGTTCAACTAATGGCCCTTCAGTTCTTTATCAGTAATTTTTTCCCTACGTAAATTAAAAAAATATATATTGTGTCCCAACCCTGGTGTAATGATTTGAACGAATTTGAATCTACCGGTACACTTCCTCAGAAAACTTTTACTTAAGTTTCATCTTTTCTGGCTCTGTGGTTCTTGAGATTTTTTAAATGACCCTACCCAATTTTCACTGTTTAATATTAATTAATAATTATCTCCCCTTAGCAGAGCGTGTGGCCCTTCATCTGAAAAAAAAATTCAAATCCCCTCTTCCTAAGGATAATCTGTGCCAAGTTTGGTTGAAATTGGTCCAGTGGTTCTGGAGAAGAAGATGAAAATCTGAAAAGTTTATAGACGGCAGACAATGGACAAATTTCGATCAGAAAAGCTCACTTAAGGCTCGGGTGAGCTAAAAATTACAATGTTCAGGGCACACTTTAACATCCTGATATGCTGTGGCTTATGATCATTTTTGGTACTAATGAACTATCTTAAACTACTTCCAGTGAGATGTGGATTCCAAGTACATTTGGAGTACTTAATTATCTCTCATTTTCCTCAGGCTTGCCATGCGAGAAATTTTATGGCATGTTCCACTGTAACAGGTATTCTTCATCGTTTAACATACAAGATACTTTGACTTCAACAAAATATGACATAATGTGTGAATGTATATCCAAATCAAATTTCACAGTACAACTCCATGTAATTTCAAAGTTTTACAGTTTACTTTATGGAAAACCCAATGATATGACAGCCTAATTGGAAGAAATAATGAATCTCTGTCTGTGGATATAAATATATTGAAAATTACAATCCATACATATTTAATTATTTTATTCAACAACATTAGGGGATATAAAAACATCTATATAATATATATACACATTTCATCTCTACACCTTTTCATTAATAAAAGGGGGCTGATTTATCCATGTCTCATGAATATCAAAGACACCTGTCAATGTCAAGTTCTGTCACATGGTACAATAATCTTAATTGTTAAAAATTATGGTGAAAATTATGTTTAAAAACATAAAACATCTTGTGTTTTACACCAATGAAATAATGTTAATTAAAATATATCTACATTCAGCTTGAACATTTTTCCCTTGCTTTGTTTCAACAGTTCACACAGCTGGGCCATTGTATTCTGAAAATTACGACAAACATTTAAAAAAACAAAAAAGAAGAGGTTTTAACTAAGAAACTTTCTTAAAAGATATTTATTTTTTTTAAAAATATCAAATATTTTAATCTAATATTTACAAGATATCTAATATAGAGCATATCTAATACCCTACATAATATTACAATATATCCAAGTAAAACATTCATCTCAACCTTCAGAGTTTTTAATCCCATGTTTTATATTCTCAAAATATACCCCCCCCCCCCCCCCAAGAAAAAGGAGACATACTTGTCTGAAGTTGTTCCTATCGTCTGTCATAAGGAGACCTGGACCTTCTGTAAGATGGTGACCTATAACATATCAAAAATGTGCTTGCAAAGAAATATTCAGAAAAAAAAATTAACATCTATAATTTAAGGGCACATACATGTATGTTATGAGGAATTGGGTTGTATCATTATTTTGACTGGCAAGTCAATGTCAATATTTAATTGAACACTTTTTTGTTGAGAGGGGATGTAGCAGAACACTGTTTTGTCATGGGGGGGGGGGGGGGGGGGGGAGAAGGGGACTGTTTTTAGGAAACCTCAAGTCTAAATGGAAATTGAACAATAAGGTTTAAAGTGGGTAGTTAATGACCAGAGGTGTGTCATGACCTGGTACAAAAGAATTTGGTCAAATTCAAGATCATAGTGATTAGCTCTATAAATGGAGAACTGGCTCATATTTTACTAAAGGTGGATTATAATTAGTGGTATATTACAACCCTGAATATAGGTTATTTGGACAAGGTCACTGGGACACCCAGTTTAAAACCCTTGTCCAGTCTATATACTTTGTGATGGAGAAATTTTATAGGCTCAAACTTGTCACAAAGTTGGTTATGATCAAGCAGTTTGTCAAATCCAAAAACTGTCATTGTTGTAAAATTTGTCCCCTTCAAAACTTACCCATACTAGGAGGAATTAATGAAAAAAATTTGTTCTGTATGAATTAAATCTATACCTAGAGCGACTTCTGCTCCTGCTTCGTCTTCTCGGGGAGGGACTTCTTCGTCTCGGTGAAAAAGATCTGGAAATTAAAAAAAGAAATCTTAAAATATTGTAAATTTTCTCTACAGTCTCTGTTAAAAGACAGGGAAAAAAAAGCAACCTAACCAAAAATAAACCTTTTGTTACCTTAGGTCAAAAGATTTTAATTCCATGGAAAAATACAACATGGCACAATAACAACTCAGATGAAAGGTCTATGGAAGATTGAAATCACATTTATATCTGAATGAAAAGTTAGCTCCTTTTATAATGATTTTATAAGGAGAAACAGCTAGAAAATCTAAACATAATACTTCAACTATGAAACTAAAATAAAAACACTAAACAACAATTAAAAACAAAACATGGGTTTAATATAAATTTCCCTTTCTCCAAAAGGGTAGTTAACTGTTAAAAGCTAGCGCTCCCATGCACTTTGGAAACTTTCCTTGAAATCTTTGCAAATAACTGCAATTTTCAGAATACAATACTGAGTTCAGTGTATTTTTCAAAATAATGAAAATATTGTGAAACTCATGGTTAGTATGAAGCATACAAGCAAACCAGTACAAACTGGCTATAACTGACAACCCTGTACCATTGTCAAGCTGCCGTCCTGACGATAAGAGGTGATAAAGTTGAAATGCTGATGCTGACCCACGGAGAATAGGGAAACTAACGTGATGTGTATGTATCGAAGAAAGGCGTTGGAAAATTGAAGGTGTGAAAAAATTTGGGCTGTTCAGACAATTCAACAAAGCTCCTACAAAATTTAACTGTTAATTTGATTCTTTAGTAAAATGTCTTTGTATATCTGAAATGCTTATAGTTCTAAAGGATCTGACTGAAAAATTACTCAGATTTTGGGACAGCACTCTAAAATAAATATCTAAGGCTTATTTTGTTTCTATTCTTTTTTTTTTAGGTTCTTTAACACTGTTAGATATTTTTTACCAGAATTCAAAATCCACTCAAATAAAATTTTGCACTATTTTCACCAATTTCAGTGTCCAAAACCAAGATCTAAAATACGTTGAAAATGTCTGAACATGACTTAATTTTAGATGATCTAGGTGAGAAGATATTGTTCCCCGTTTAAAGTCTTAGTACTGTTGTTGACGCTGATGGGCGTTGTGTTGTAGTGCTGATAAAACAGCTGCAGGTTGATATCAGCTGATAGAACAGTGGGATGTTGATCAAGTTGATCAGCAATGTTGATTAGGGCAGACGTTGACCAGGGGAAAGAAACGATGACGCCGACTGGCTGGGGGGATAAAGGGCTAGCCTGTAAATGGGTTCATATCAGTCAAGGTTAATATGGCAAGACAGAAAGAAATTAATGTGCAGTTTTACAAAATTTTCCTATTAATTATTTGCTTTTTAAAGTTATTTTTCCTTGCTTTCATTTCAATACTGATTTTCAAATTGATTTTAAAAAAATAATTGTGGAACAAAAATCAAAAAGGAAATGTTTGTAATATAGGCACAAGTTGATCTTTAATGAAAATGAAGTAAATTTTAATGTCATAAATGATGGTTTTATCTACCACAATAAAATGAAGGGACAACAAAGACACATAAAACTTTAATTAAAAAAAAATTAATCATCACCTTTTGCTGAAACTCAACCAAATAAATAACACCCCCCCCCCCCCCCAGAAAAATTCCATATGAATGAAAACACTGGTTTTTGGAATTTAGTACCATAAAGCTTCTTTGAAAGTCTGGTGGCACATTGTACACATATGCAGATATACCAAAAAAAAAAAAAGAAGAAATTCTCTTCCTGTTTGATACACTAACACAAGGACATCTGACAGGTATTCCTGAGCTTTTTGCTGTAGCGAGTGTTGAACCTATTTTGTTTCTTCATCACATATTGATTTTCTAAAACGCACTCCAAACAAATACTATTGATAAATTACAAACCTAATACAAAAAACAAAAAGCATTTTAAGTGTTTAAAAGATTTGGAAAACAATTAAAAAATAGTAAGTTTTGACAACAAGTGTCACTGTGTGCTTTTCTTTTTAATGATTAGAATATGCCTTTTTTTAAAATTCCATTGCATGTTCAATGCCAATTTATAAACTTAATTATGAAGTACCCAATCACCTTGATCTGCGTCTTTCATCTCTGTAGCTCCTCCCACCACCGCCTCCACGACGTGTGGGTGGTCCTCTAGAGCCCCAGCGAGATTTTCCTGATGACATTTCTACTCTAACTCTCCTGCCATTTATCCTCCTGCAAATAAATTTAACCTAAGTAGATCTAGTTAATTTTGTTTACATATGATTTAAGCAGCATTTCACAATGCATTGTTTTATAATTACACTTTATGGCTACACCATGTTACTTACGTGCCATCAAGAGCTTTTGTTGCATCTTCAGCGTCTCTTGGGTCCTGAAACTCTACAAAGGCAAAACCTGGTGGGTTTCTGGCTACCCACACATTCCTAATGGGGCCGTACCTGGAAAACAAGTCTTCCAGTTCTTGTTTTGCTGCACCATAACCAAGATCACCAATGTACACTTTACAGTCTAGTTTCCATTCTTTCATTCGATTGGCCATTTTGTTTGATCTATAACGAGTGAATGTGGTGAAAACGTTTCCGCCATTTTGGAATTTTATGCAAGCTTTACATGATACAGTTTGGAGGGATTTTACGATGCCCAAATTTATTTTATTCACGATAAGAATTCATCTTTTAAAATTATAGCGCATTTTTTAGGGTATCAAATAGCGATTTCACAGCTGTAAACACTTGCAAACTCGTATAATATCATAAGGCATAATAATTTCTTGACCTACCTTTTTACTTCCCTGCGTCGTTTTAAGCAAGTTTACATTATCGAAGGCTTAGTTTCGTATTTTCACTCACACAAGCCAATCTATGAATCTGACTTGGAATTTTGCATTAAGTAGGCCTACAATGAATTATTGATAAATCAATTTGAATGATTAAAATTGTACCCCAATTATATGTATTTAAAAAAAAAATGAAATGAATTATTCCGGATACTAAAGTACATCTCGGATATGTTCTGCTTTTAAGCATTCTGCACACTTCTGTGACGTAAACAGCAGGGGGTATGAGATTTTTAGGGTTCGACAAAGATTGTCGAGACTGTTTCACTGGTGTTGCAATTGCGTTTGCAACTTTAGGCATATTTTGGGCCTGTTTGATTAGCATATATGATTTAGCCGCTGTACACGACGCATATTTTATTTCCAGGTAACATTATATTGGAAATATATTTATCCATGAGCTCATTAATAAACAATGTAGTTGGTGGTTGCAATATTTCAGATTACATCGTATATAATAAAAGCTTACCTTTTGAAGCATGCCATTTTAAATCATTATTTTTATTCTTAAGATAATACATAGGCTGTTAAAAAAGTTAACAACTAAAATAAAACCTTTCCAAGTTAGCATAAGATCAAGGGTCATCCTGACTGTCCAGTCAATATTGGCAAGAACCAGTTACCACATTAAAATAAATAATGAACAAAATATTTTTAAGTTTATTATAAAAAGAGAAAATTTCTTTTATGTTGACGGTGCGACCCTCGTGGCAAGTGCAGTTGTGTACTACTGGATATTCACTCTTAAATAAGATCCACCTCATTAAGCCGCACAAGACATTTATAACATATAGACTGTGACGTCACTGACGTTGAAGGTTAGCTGCATTTCGATAAATGAAGTTTAATAGGTGCATAATTTTAACAAAGAAAGTTTAATCTACTAGCTATATGCAATGTCCATTAAATCAAGGTGAATTTATTTTTTGTGAAGTTTGAATTGTTGTTTCCGTGAGAATGTAGTTAGCAATGAGATGCATTCGCATTGCATTGTGGCTCTTGAGGTAATTTCAGAAAAAATTCATTTGGATCAATGTGTAAAGTCCAAATTTTCTCTTCCCCCAAGTGTTGTTCTTCGAGCTCGCTATTATTAAAATGATTTTTTTCTGGACTCAGTTTAACTATCAAATTCTTTCTGGGTGATAGCAAAATAAACAAGCTAGTGCAGATGCATGCAGCTCTATTTTTATCTACATGTACATGTATTTTATTAACATGGCTGAGAGTTCCTTATGTCTTTATCAAATTATGGAGACTGAATTTGAATGTATATTGATAAATTAATAATTTATATTGAGGCAGCTTAAAATAATTTGATTAGTTGTCCATAGCTTGCTACAAATTTTCATGTGAAAATATGTTATAG